ATTAGTCATTTTAGGAGTCAGCGTGGCATTGATCAAGGGATATAAGATGCGAGCAGATGTTTGGGTATTGGCCAAGGTTTGTGAGCTGACAGATGCAGGGAATTTGCAGATGAGTTGAGATGCGAGATGGAAGATTTATAGCAGTTGGCGCAGCTTTTTAAGTTGACCGCCGAATAGGGTTTGCACATCAGTTGAGATGAAAAATCGAAGATGGGTAGGCGAAGCGGAAGTGGCATTACTTGCTTTATTGTTCATACCCTTGCGACGGTACTCGCACGGAGATGCTTGCAGTCAATTGAATAAGGCAAACATTAGTGCACAAATGTATGTATGACACATCATGGCTTGGACCCTGTGTATTGTGACGCTTTACCTAGCTTCGCTTGTGCGCAAGTCTGCCACTTTGGAAAATGAGCCCACTTTTGGCAACATCCATCTACAATACCTCTCTTGCCGTACACAAGTAGCAGCCGCCTTTTTTGCATTTAATGTTTATCTACTTATTTACGCTTTTCTTTTTTTTTTTTTTTGGGGGGGGGTACATACATATATATATATATATGTGTGGGATCCAATTGAAATCCAATCGGACATTGAGAAAAGGGCTGCCAAGTGCGGCATCGAACTTTGCCGTCTCGTCGAAACCCACAAAATACGTGCAGAGCTCGGACAAGTTCTGATAGATACGAGTTGGCAAGTGAGAACTCGCTTTGTTTGTCACAGCTGAATCACCATACCGGCTTACAAGATCCTAATTTGGGGCCGCTCCTCATTCATCTGTCTGGAGGGCTTCGAAAGGAGCTAGGTGGTGTCAGCAAAGCACTCAATCCTTCCTATGCTTGAAAAAGAACCAAGCGCTGACTTGAAACCACGGCAAACCCTCCAGGCATGGCGTATTTTCGCGCACATCCCACCCCCGAAGCACTGCCAGAGTCCCTGCCCGGTGGTGACCCGCGTGATCAGTGCGACCGGCCCACAAGTTGGCGCCAGTTCGCATCACCGGTTTCCAGCTTATGCAACGGAGCCCGCGTATGGCATGAGGTGCTGTGCGCAGAGATGAGCCCTGAAATTGCATCCACATCCGCCACAAAAATAGCATTTCCATAGCTCACTCGTGAGCTCCTTGTGGACAATCGGACGATGTCGAACACATCAGAGTGACCCAAGCCACTTTGAACCCATGTTCTATTGAGGAGTCCAATTTGTGCCGCACAGCCACACGCAACCTCCTATGTTCCCAAGGCAACCCCGCTGTAGTTGGGTCACATGCGCCATGACCCCTTTCCAAGACATCGAGCATGGTCTGGCGGGCTGGCGAGCTGACCAGCTCAATGAGCAAAGCTCTCAGCATGATAGCATACTATCGCAAGAGTCCCATTTCGTTTCCGAGCATGATCTAACGTAGCATGGCAAGGTGTGCTGCGTGCTTGCCATCCTGACCCTGCAAAAGATGCCGTCAGAGCCGTTCGAGGGTATTGCTAGTGGAGTCAGCCCGCCTGCTCAGCACAGCATACTGGCATGTGCCATGTCCAACTCGCCCTTCACACCGCACAATCAGCCCCTCACACAATAGCAAGGTTGCATCCCTACATCCTGAAACACTCGAATGAGGCAGGCACCATGCAAACTTAGAACACCCGACCAGCAAGCCAGCGTAAAGGCAGCCACACATCTGCAAACTCCACCTGCAAACTCCACAATAATTCCGAACACCTAAACAAGTTGGATCCCCACAAAGCGGCCCTACGCTTGTACATCACCGTGAGCTTGTTTTAGGATTTTCGTCAGATGAACAGGGCTCCCTATAGCGCCCCTTAAAACATCACCCAAGGGATACTCACCTTTCAATTGCCAAACAGGTGATGCTTAAAGCCACCACAATGGGGAAAAAACAAACAAAACAAACCACAATCCGGATTTCGGATGAAAGGGACAGCCTCCCGCAAACCGCCCGACCACCGAAAGCCGTCTGTCGTCCGTCAAATCGCCCCGCACACCGCCCTAAGACGTCCCGGGGGCCGCTTGAAAGGCGCTGCCGAGCGTGAAAAGGATCAGGCCGTTGGCTAAGCGTCCAAGGGCCTCACCCATGCCCCTGAAATGTGCGAAATCCCTTCGACCGCACCGAAGAAACCATGGGAAAACCAGGGTTTGTGGGTATTTACCAACAACCATCAGAAACCAGGGTTTCTTGAGGTGGTGCAGGATTTTGTCCATCCTCAAAAACTTATTCAGAGGATTGGCACCGGGTGCCCTGATCAAGAACGGTTCTTCTTTCATGAGGTGGTCAACATCATTTTGAAGACATGAGAAAAGCGGGGCTCTGATGCTACCCACTTGGGTTGATAAAAAGCCAAATTGCATGTGTGACGCGGCCTTGCAACCCAGTGTGGATCCATTCTTGCACCCCGAATGACTGGATTGACACTTGTAACATCCCTGCGCTGGCTAAATGAAAAGTCGCCCAGTCAAATCATGCCGAAAGGAAAGGTAATTAAACATCTGCCGACTCGTAGATGGGCTCGCCAGGGATCTCGACTCATTGTTGTCAACACTTGGCTGCCAAGGCATCCCAAATTGAAACCAACGATCTGGAGGAACCCGCCAGTTGCCCCACGCAACTGAGCCACAGTCAAAATTAGGCCGGTTTCCCCCAGTTTCATCCCTGGATTTTTTTTCAGCTCCTCCATGTCTCCCCCCCTCCCCCGGGCTGAAAATCCCAGTTGCCTGGGCCCGTCCAAACTCTTCAATGTAGCCGGCATCCTTGGCGCCACACTGTTCAGCGTGGAAACCAGTAAAAAATGTGTCAACTTGTGTCTCCCCAACATTTGGAACGACATAGGAGTGGTTTTCTGTACTGTTTCCTCTAAATCAACCCACACATATCTCCGAGAAAAAAACAAAAACAAAAAAAAAACAGAGGCATCCAAGCGCCGCTGCTGCACAGGTTGATAACTGTCTGTGTCACAAAAGGCTTAGCTGCAAGATTCCAAAGCTGCAGTAACTCTTGTTCAAATATCTTCAAGCAAGTTCGCTGACTTTCAAGTCAATCTGCATCTTCAAACAATGTCAAGTCAATCTGTGAAGCATCAAACCCTAGCGGGCACCAACGCAAAGCTGAATTGAATAAGCTATGCTCTCGTAAAACTAAGCCTCGTAAGACTAACCCCTTTCCACTCGAAGGGGCATGAGAAAAAAGAGAAAAAAGAAGAAGACAAACAATCACGATCCCCTTCGCAGGCCATAGATTGGATCCTGACAAGCATGACATGGGGATGCTTGAGGATTGAGCTTGTGGTTCATGCGCCCTAGTCTTGCGACCCCGGTAGGTCGACACGGTGGTTTCCACATGAGCCGTTGACTCGGCGGAACATGATCCATATCCAAGCCTCTTTTGCCGAGCAGAACCAACGCCTCGCTTTGGGGCCAGGATCCACTGCGAAAAAGGGCACACTCTGATTCACGGGGTGCAACGTGGAACTAGTCACTGAAAAAACTGACATGAAACCTTGTCATTGCTTGCAGAACAGAAATGGAGCGAACCTTCACGCGGCAAAACCGCGGGGGAAAATTATTGCCGCACCAATCAACATGGAACCTGACAGGGGGGGCCCTTTAAAAGGAACATGATCTTCCAGGACCCCCCTGCCAGGTTCCATGTTAATTGGTGCGAGGGTAATTTTTCTGGAGCAACCAAACAATAGCAATGAAGTCGGCGTTGACGGGGATTGACCCCGTGAAGTTTCTCCGTAAGATGAAACCAACGTGAAACACACTTACCCCAACTTGTGGCCCAAAACAATCCTTTTGGGGCCCCTGTCAAAGGAAAGCGGGGGGTGATGTTTAGGTTGGGCAAACAGGACCTCAGACTGCTTGTAGCCCCTATTCCCAGGCAAAACACTCAGACCTCCGATCTGTCTGGCCCCTTTGGAACGAGGAGCTGTGGCCTGTGCCACCGCTAACAACCCCGCGCTGTGCGTGTTCAGCTGCAAGTCCACATGCAGCAACCTTTCCGTGGCAGAGAGCCTCAGAGCCGAAAGAATATCTGAACCAAGCGACCGCTACTTGAATGCTTCATGGGTGAAGCCGGCAGATTGCAATGTCAACTGTGGAGAAGCAAAAGCAGGACTTCAATCAGTCGAACCCCTACAAATACTTGAGTTCCTTGCTAAAACCGGAATCACCTTGATGAGCACGGTGCTCCGAACCCGGATTCATCTGAAGCGAGGTCCTGTTTGCGGACTGGTCACTCCCTGTGGGATAGGATGAAATTGAAATCGGTGAGGGTTGATGAGGACCGCTTTGGGGGGGGTGTTCTGGGTCGGTTGATGGCTGGAGTTGGGGCGATGTGAACTTGTACCATGGGTGAATCGGGGGTTGGAGGGGCTATGGGGGAGACCATGTTTGTATGATAGGTGTATATATATATATATAGATAGAGATATGCTATACGCACGCGAATGTGTTACACACTCCAGATGCGCTTATAAAAAAAAGCAGCCCGAGTCAAAGGATGGGATACGTAAACCCGCCAATCTGTTCTGGTGGCAAGCAACCAGTGTTGCCCTCGACACGTAAGACACCACGCCTTAGACACCATGCCCTGAAACATACGCCTCGGAGCTCATTCAAGTATTACCGAAAGGAGCTACAGATTCTGAAGTATTGCAAGGAAAGCAGCCAGATGGGTGTGGGTCAAAATTAGGTACCCAAAAGGGAAGCCTGGTAAATGGAAACAAGGAGTAAAATCTGCGGTGTTCTTGGTGGTTTAATTTTGACCCACACCCACATTAAGACACAGAACCTTGGTTATGGTCACCTACAAGGGCCGCTGGCCCCTGCATTCTGGGCACCCTCCTTGCCTCTAAGCCCTGAGGTGTTAGGAGTCCTCTATACGTGCCTCACCGGGATCGCATAAACTTGACAGTTGGGCTAACACGTTGAAGGAAAATCAACAAAGGGCACCCACATAGCCAGATCCACCCCAAAAGAGAAAGGCGTTGAATAATCCTGCAATCTAGTTGAGGATCCCGAAGCGCGGGTTGACGTTCACAGGGTCTCCCCGATATAGTGACCTTTGGGCCCAAGAAAATGCCAAAGAAAGTCACTGACTCAGTTCAGAACTACACGCAACACTCATGAATCATGAAGCATAGTCGTTGACTCGGCCATGAAGCCTAGTCAACAGCTAAGCAGGCCTTAAGCTATAGAATTGCCCCCCTTATCTTCTTAGATACCAGTGTGGAGCATAGGGAAGACCATGTACATCCATGTTTCAATGGCCTTCGTAGGGAAAGTTCAAACCAGCTTGGGACTAGCTGGCGGTGGCCGGTTGTGACCACTTCAGCAAGCTTCGTCTAAGTCCTCCTGTAAGGATAGAATAAGTTGGTACCAACTTGTTTCTTCTTTGTCTATTTTAGTAGGGGAACCGAATCTCACCCCAATTAGAAACGGTAGAAGGGTACTTGTCTGGGGCTAAGACCTAGTCGTGCTTAAGATAACGACTTACACCATCGAACTGCGCCATGGCCCTGGCATTTTCGTGAGACATGTCTTTCGCGGCTATGCGTCAAAACCCTGAACCCCATAGCCCCAGTAAACATCCGATTCAATCCAACCACTAAAGTGGCAATCCCCACTAAGATAGGTTCTAAAATGGGTGGTGAATTCAGCTACCCCAAAATGGGATACCATTGGTGCTGACCCACGGCCATGTCTTTTTTTGCAAACCCGCGCTTGGAGATTTGGGCACAAGAGCCACCCGGGGATCAAAGAAACAGGTCTGACCCACTTCCTGAGAGGACGTTTCTGCACTTCCATGAAACTGGAAGTTGTGTAAGCGCCAACCAAAAACCGGGCAAGGAAGGCCATGGACAGTGAGACGAGCTCATAAATCACCGAGCTAAAACAAGTATGTTCCTTTGCGAGGCTACCTTTGCTGCATGTTGAAGCATTATCATCAACCCCAAATGGAAAAGGCATCCCCCCCTCCATACATCATGTTTCTATGCTGCTGGGGCAAACCCATGAGAGCCGGGCCGCAATTTATATGGGTGGCACGGCCTTTCCATTTCTTGGGATGTGACCTTTTGTACATTAATTGGGGGGGGGTACTACCATTGTCGGGGTTTTTCCAACTGATGGACAACATCACTTCCCTCCAAATCATAGGTGATGAATGAACCATTGCTAGGACTTCATGCATCCCAACTTATCCGGTGCGATGTGGAGTTTGTCCATCCAAAGTATTTCCATTGTTCAAATCCGACCGTGTATATGTCAGAATAGGAGGACACCAAGAATAGTTTTTGATCTTCCTGTTGGATTCACTTTAGACCAACCGCCAAAGGGTACCAACTCACACGCACATGCTCACACGCCAGGCTTTTAGTGTGCAATCGAGGCTCTCAGAACTGGTGTCAATGTCATCAGTGTCCTCAGCTATAGTCCGATCACACCACCTCCACTTGATGTCCTTTGGCAAAGATGACACTTTTCTTCAGAACCAAACTTCATCAAGAAAACCAGAAGCCTTTCAACCATTCACCACTTGAAGCATCCCTTGCGAAAAACTGAAATGGGTCAATCAGGACGTGTTCAGTTGAAGTAACATTGGCCAAAAGGCCGCCAAAGGAGACAGGTCCCGGCGTCAAAAGTTGCAAAGAGAAAAGGTCAAGAGTCAGGTGACTTGAATACCAGAAAGGCAAGCGCAAACAAAAGACAACTGAGTTCGCAGTGGAACAACAAGGGAAAATACACGGTCCCTTTGTCCGGCACCCTCCATGGAATCCTCCTCCTCGGAAGTCTTGTGCAACATAGATGGGCGTGCTAGTTACACTCGAAAAAGTGGAAAGCAAAGACCAAGAAAGTCGAAACAAATATATATTTGTTAATATAATATGTATACAAAGACAACTATCTATATATATATATGTCTATATGATATACATTCAGAGAAGTAGCTGCGCGAAAGGAATCATTGTGACCACCAATGCAAGACACACTGGCAGGAACAGCACACACATTCATAGCAATATATACAAAACAGCACGTGAAGGCAAATGGAACAGACTCATGGCTTATCCCATGAATCCAAACCCAGATCTGGGTCAATTCCATTGGAATATGAGAATCACTCGACCTGAAACACAGCATGCAATGGGTGACGTTCTTTCACTCGCTGGCCTCAATACTTGGTTAACGTTGGAAGGGGACCAAACAAGTAAATTTTAGCAGTTAAGTGGAGATTTCCCCACTCAGCCATAATAAGCAAAAACAAAAATTATAAAAAAAAAACTGTTTCCCAACAACAACCATGAATATCTCAAGACTCCGTTCCAATCCCATCAGACTAGCCAAGGCCGGATCCAGAAGCAAAAATTCCATCCGCCGGCGAGAGATCAACAAGTAGAGAGGGAATGATGCTGACGCTAGCTACTTGTTCTTGGGGCTGCAGAAGGGAAACCACAAACATCTTGCGGGCGCACGGAGACGAAACCAGAC